CTGGTGATATCAGACTTAGAGCAAGGGAGGAGACTTTGGGGATGGCACAGAGCAGAACCTATGGATTGTATGAAACATATGGGATGTTTGATGGGAAGGGCAAAGGGAGGGACCAGGGGAGGAAAAAGCATAGGAAGGCAGAAGGAAAAGAGAGAAAATGTTCTGGTGGTGTGTAGGCAGTGGCAGATATGCTTGCCAGACTCAGCAGCATGTTTCAGCACTGCAGGCTGTCCTAGACCCTCATTAAATCATATTTCTTCTGTGCAGTGGTGCTCCCTGTTAAGAGCTGCCTGCATGAGAGTCGGGAAGATTTTGGTAGTTCCCAAGAGGAAAAGGACAAGGAAAGTGTAAGGAAGGATAAGGATAAGGAAAGCCTATACCCATTATACTTTCCAAGAAAAGATATGAGACATCTTGTAATTCTACAACTCATAATTGTGTTGGCCCTGAACAGTGAGAGATCTGGGTTTTGTTTGTTTTGCTTTGCTTTGGGCCTGAAGTAGAAGTACAGTGACATTCTTCTTCCCTGAATAGTGAAATCCTGGAGAAGGGGAATAAGACTTCTCCTTGAAAAGATTTAGTTTTATCTTCCTAGTACAATCATCAGCTAGATTTCTTCACAATATAAGAGGGATCTCTCAGCCCCTCTGACACTTCCCTCAAAAAGAGAAAATCCACTCACATGGTTCCTGGGTTCTCAGATCTGTCAGTTGCAGATCAAAAGTCTCCTAAAGAGGCTCGTTACATGTCATCAAAACACTCCACAGCTGCAATCAGATTCAGATCTCAGCAGGTCCAGCTCGGTTTTACCTAAGATAACAAAATAGATAACTTGACTCCCAACCAGATCTTTTGTATATGCCATATTTCCAGGGGATAAACATACAAGGTTTCTGTCTGCACTGCTCCTGAGACAAAAGACAGAATCCCCTTCAAAGAAAATATCCACTTTCCATCAGGTAATTTTTCTGGTGCATGTCTCCATTCACTCTGGAGAAGGAGGTTTCTGATGTGACAGATCAATAACTTTCAGGTTAGTTATGAAAACTCCTCATAAAAGAAATCAAGTGAAATGTTAGGTAACACTTATACTTTTCCACGACCTTCCCCCCAGCTATTGGAAAGCCAAGATCATGCTATGCAGCTCAGATTCAGTTATCTGCAGTTATCAAACATCCCTGTCCCAACACCCCACCTGGCAGAAAAAACACAGTTTGAGATGTTTCTGTGCTTCCACCATCACTTATTTCCACCTCAGCTGTGCAAGTCAAGCAGAGACGAAAGGGAGAGGCCACAAGATGAATTAAGACAGGTCCAAGTCAACACTCTAAGTCTATGGAATCAAGGCTTTGAAAAGCAGAAAAAAATCCCAGGGTATCACATTTGAAACTGTAATTCCAATAAACCTTTTTTTTTTTTCTTTCCTGTTTTACTGCCTGGCTCCTGTAAACAGCACAGATTTGCAGAGCTGCTGTGAGCTATTGGCACCATGGATTTAATTGGTACATGCAGTCCCATCCCATACCCCACAGAGTTCTCCGGAGCACTGCCTCTTCTGTAAGATTTTTTAAGAAACGCTGTTAATATCCTCTGATCATTTCACACCTCTCTTAGAATACAGAGTGCAGAAGTATCCATAGTTTCGATTTCTCAAGCTGCTTCACACACACTCAGATAACACATTTAAATTTTGCTGTCACCCACTCCTAATTCATCTCAGAAAGCCTGGGGGTGGGGACTGAGGATGAGGAAATCGATTCCCTGCCAGTTTGAAGCGCAAACACTCTGGAACACAAACAATTAATTCGAGGATCCAGTACTTCTCAAAGGAACTTAAAATCAGCAGGGCTGCTAAAATGTTGAGTGTTAATAAGAGTAAATGCTGCTCTTGGCTTCATCTAGTTTCTTAGAGACAGCTCTGATGCTTCCCAGAACCAGCACCTCAGGCCACCAAACAGCTTTAGCTACATCATTAGTGGAGAAATAACTCAGAATTTTGCAGCTCTTTAGCCACTGGATCACCAGTGCCAACTGGCTGCTTTCCTTTGCTAATTCACAGGATTACTTCTAGTGATGTGAAATTATATCAAGAGGTTGTAGGTATATTTTTACTGCTTTAAACTAAAATCTAAATGACCTCCATTGCAGCAGAAGTGCTCTCTTATTAATTAGTTCCACCACCTAATAGTTATGATGAGTAAAGATTTGAGGTACATGCTAAAAAGCATCACAAGGAAACAAATAAATCTTAAGCTGTATAAATATATGGAGGGGAAATGTTGCATCAGCATCAAACTTCCATTTCAGAAATATCTTTTGTCTTCATTTAAACCAGATAAGAACTACTGCCTGGTGTTATTACTTAGCATTTTAATAAGAGCACTATTTAATTTTAATTTTCTATGTTGAAGGGTATGCAATATACTTCTATTCAGCAGTTTATGAAGAGAAAGCTCCATTTGCCTTATTGTTAAGGTAAAACAAAGATTATCACCTACATTTCTGCATGTTTAAGCACTTGCAAACAGTTAATCAGCCCACTGAGGCAATGTCTGAAATCACTGTATGGTTTCATATTTTGTATTGCACTAGGTTTGTTCCTTTTTCTTTGGTTACTATCAGAGCCATCAAACAACAACAACAAAAAAATCTGTGTTTCTTTTCATTTTAATGATGAAAGTAGATGCTTCATTTACTAAAAAGGCTCAATTTATACTTATTATCTGTGCTCCCAGTTTTAACCCTGCTGGAAACTTTTATTTCAGCAGCCCAATGCTGACATGCACAACATTTCAAAAACTGTAATTGCAAATAGAAATGAATGTCTAAAAAATGTAATTAAACATTTTAAATTAAAAAGATCAGCAAAGACAGTTTTCAATGCTCTTCTTTACTCTTTTTGTCATGCATTAAGGTTGAAAATACCTCCAAAACCATTGAGTCCAACCTGTGACCAATCACCACATTGTCAACCAGACTGGAACACTGAGGACTGGGTCCAATTGTTTGTGCACAATTCCAGATATGATGATTTCACCCCTGCCCTGGACAGCCTGTTCCAGTGCTTATCCATCCTTTCCATGAAAAAATTCTTCCCGATGTCCAACCTGAACCTCCCCTGGTGCAGCTTGAGGCCATTTCCTCTTGTCGTGTCCCGTGTTCCCTGGGAGAAGAGTCTGATCTCCACCCTCCTTTCAGGGAGCTGAAGACAGCAAGAAGGTCCCCAGGTCTCTTTTTCTCCAATCTGAGCCCCCCCAGCTCCCTCAGCTGCTCCTCAGAGGACTGACTCTGCAGACCCTTCCCCAGCTCCATTCCTTTCTGGACATGCAACAGCCCCCCAAAGTTTTTTCGTGGCAGGCTCAGAACTGGACCCAGGACAGAGAGGAAGTCACTGGCCTGGTCCTGCTGGTCACTCTACAGCAGGTACAGGCCAGCTGCCCTTGGCCTCCTGACCCTCTGGGGCACACTCTGGCCACTCAGCCACTGTGAACCAGCACTCCCAGGGCCTTTTCCAACAGGGCGGCTTTCCAGCCCTCTGCCCCGAGCCTGTGCCGCTCCCGTGCTCTACCTTGCGTCGCCTTTCAACCACCCCCTCACACTGCCTTATGTACCTTGTCCCTCCATTGATCCTGCCTCACCTGCCTTCTCCTCCCTTGCCTTGCCTTACAAAGCTCTCACTTGCCCTGTTCACCACTCCACTCCCTTCCCTTCCCCTTCCCTTCATCAATGTCTTGATTTCCTTCCCTTGCCAGCCTGCTCCGTGTCTGGTTTCTCTGACCCTTCCCGGCCTCGCCCTCCGGCCCCACCGCCCCGTCCCGCGCCCGCCGGCCGCGCCCCACAAACTCCAAGCCCCGCCCACCCGGGCGGAGGCAGGGCCCGGCCCCGCCAATCCCGGCCCGCCTTTCTCCGCCTCGTCCAATCACAGCCGCCCTTTCAATCCGGCCTCGGTCCCGCCAAGCTCTGCCCGCTCCGGCCCCTCAGCCCGGGCCCGCCCCCCCGTTCGCCTGAGGGGCCGCCGCGGGAGCCGGCGGAACCGTGGCCTCGCTGCGGCAGCCCGCGGCAGGTGCTTCTGGAGCCCGGGAAGGGCCGGCGGGGGCTCCCCGTTCGGGCCCCGGCTGGGAATTCTCCCCGGGGAAGGAGGGGACGGCGGGGAGCAGGCGCGACCGGCTCCCGGAGCGGCGGAGGCAGGGCCTGAGGGGAGAGCTCCGGGAGATGAGCGAGGCGGGAGGAGGCGGGCCGGGATTGGCTGGGCTGGGCATACTCTGTGACTGTGATTGGCTGGGCATGCCCTGTAGCTGTGATTGGCCGAGCCGGCATGCCCTGCAGCTGTTATTGGCCGGGCCGCCATGGCCTGCGGCTGTGATTGGCTGTGCGGGCCGCGCTGGTGCCCGTGCGGCGGCAGCCGCAGCGCAGTGCCCAAGGCGCCCTCAGAACCTCCACGGAGCTCCCATGGGCGCACGGGGCAAGGGAGGGGTTGGCAAGGTCTGACAAGGGAGGCCTTGTATATCCCTTCCTTGCCTTAATTTTCCTTCCTTCCCTCGTTCTGCCTCTGCCTCCTTGTTCTACCTTTTCCTAGCCCTTTCTTCCTTGCTTTCCCTACCACTCCCCTGTCTTGTCCTTTCATGCACAGAAAAGATGTATTGTTCTTTATTAATGTCTCACCCTTGTTTAGGGAGCCACAGGTTTAAAAACTGACCTGTTTTGGGGACATCAGGCAAAATGTGTGGCTCAGCAGGGAAGGGGTCTGGGGGGGACCCTGAGCCACCCCCAGCAGATGGGGGTTCTGTCACACCCTGACGGGGAGGTCGCTCGTGGAGCGCCACGGGGCTGTGGGGGCTTGGCTCTGCACCTGTCACAGGGCCTGGCAGCACCAGGGCTATCCAGAGGGAGGAGGAAACATTATGGCTACAGAAACATCCACAATGACCTTTAAAGAACAGCTTTGGCTTAACGAGGCAGGTGAGCAAATCCCTGCCCCGAGCAGCAAGCAGAGACAGGAGTCACAGCAGGGGACAGACAGATTTATTATGTTTCTGGGAGCAGTGCCATTACATTTTGCTGGGGATAAGGTCAGCCCCTGCAGCCAGGGCAGAGAGATGGGCCAGGATGGTTATTCAAAGTGACTGGAACAAGAAGCTGCAGCCAAAACCCCCGGGGATTTGCTCCTCCATGGGTCGCTGTGGCAGACATGTGGCCAGCATCTGCCAGAGCCACTTCCACAACATCTTTCCCGCACCATTCTCAAGAGCCAGGGCATGGCACAGGAGTCAGTGCAGCCTCTTGGCTCCCACCGGGGAAGGAAGTACTTAAGACAAGCATAAATACAGCTTTCAGTCACCCTGACACCCCACCCACTGCTGCATAGTCTGGTGAAGGCATTTATGGAAGGAGATCTGTCAGCTGGAATCCCGCAAAGGAGCAGATGCATCCGAAGGGGTTAACACTGACTCGTTCGTATCCTGATCTCCTCCACCAGGCTCTCCCTGCGAACATTGACCTACACAGGGGAGAGCAAAAAGTTGTTTCAGACAACTCCAGCAGCTTGACACGTCACCCCAGTCATGGCCCTGTGTCTCAGGGGGTCACACCAAGGTGTCACCTGTCTCTCTACAGGGATTAAGTGGGCTGCAGCAGCCACAGAGCTGAACCTGTAAGAGCAGGCACATGGCAACAACCCCAATAAACCCTCTCCTGCATAATGGTTGTGAGAAAGATGTTCTTCTCACACTTTCCTACTGGTTCCTAAGTTGCTGATCTATGCAGTGATCTTAGCCAGTGACCTGTGCACTGATTCCAGTGCCTGTTTTGGGAATCTGTCCTGAGGTAACAGGCATGGAGCAGCCCTGCAGTTCAGGGTTAACCAACTTCTGTTCAGTCTCACTCATTCCAAGAGTGCCACTGAATCACCCCTCCATGCTCCAGGCTCCCGAACTGAGGAGTTCAGGGAGACCACATTATAGGAAACTCCCCAGAGCTGGAAACAACAGCACTTCATGACTCCAGGAAGCTGCACGGGGCAAGGGACTGGAATATGGGGTGTTACAGAACTTGCTGGAAACAGCAGTGGGTCTGGAGGGTTGGTTTGAGCTGGGCTGAAGGGTCACATAGCCAACCCCACCATGCCATGGGCCGTACCTCCTCCCTGGTTGCCACGATCCGCAGCTTGACAACTCCATCCTTGAGCTCCTGCTCACCCACAATGGCAACAAGAGGGATGCCTGTCTCCTCACAGTACTGCAGCTGATTCAGCAGCTTGGGGTTCTTCTTGTACAGCATCTCTGCCTGGGAGAAAGCCAGAGCACAAATCATTAAACTGGGATGTTTGACTGGACCCCTTCCACCAGGCACTGCTGGGGCAGTCTGGTGAGTGTGAGGTTGTGTGGTGGGGACAGGATGGACTCCTACAGAAGGCTGGGCACCAGGTTCAACAAGGCAGTGCAGTTATAGGGCTAACCAAGTCCTGCTGCCCAGCCCTTCCTGGAGAGCCCATGATTTGGGACACTGAGAGGAGGAAGGCTCCATTCAGGAAGGCAGTCTGCTCCCCACCTGCTCCCTGTAACTCCTTCCCAAAGCAAAGCCAGATCTGGTCCATTCCCAGAGTGAACCAAGCAGCTCTTGACTTTGCCATCACCCAGTCATACCTTGATTCCAGCATCCCACAGTTCAGATATGAGCTTCAGTCGCTCTTCAAGGAGCTTCTTCTGGGCAGAGGCCACCAGCACCTGTGTCTCCGTTGTCCTGATCTTTTCCTCAGAGGCCTAGAGAGGGGACAGGACCCAGAAGATGCCACAGACATACTAAGACACCTGAGATCCTATGGGCAGGATGGGTCACACTCAGCTCCATCCATCTTTTACTGAAGAGGACTGGGCTCAGAGGGATCAACAGCCTTAACTCAAGAGTCAGAGAGATCCCACAGATCCCATCCTAGAGAAGAATCAATTGTCCATGATGCGTGCTTAACACAGCCTCCCTCCAATTTCTCCACACCCAAAGGCCTCCTAAACATCTGCTCCAAGCAGCTCAGAAGCAACACACCCAGGAGAAGGTGGACACAGGCAGCTGCCTGCTCTACAGCTGAGGTTCTAACTATGGGTTAAACAGCAGAAAGCTGAATGCTCCACCAGCCCCTGTGGCAGACGTTGGATACTCCATGTGGCATTTCCCTGCTGCCTTGCTGAAGGGAGAAACCTTTAAAAGGTCACCTGCAAAGTAACAAACCTGGCCAGGACTGGAGGTGGTGGGGGAGGAATTCAGCTTCTATTTAGAAATTCCAGTTGTGTCTGGCTGCCAAGAGAGAACTAACACCAGACTTTTGGAAGAGAGAAACATGTAGACCATTTTGGGAGCTTAAAAAGACCTATATAACACCCATTGGATGAAGAACAGTACAACTCTGATGAGAGGGAAGAGGAAAAAGATATCTGGGAAACCCCTAGAGGCACTGCAGTTCCTACCCTGTAACATGTGATAACTGCCTGGTCTCTGTAATGCCACAGGCAGGACAAACATGTGTGAGGCTGCTGCCTCCCTTGCAGAACAATGCTGCCTCACCAAGGAGGTTGTAGGCTCATGTGGATGCCTAGTGCAGAGGGGAACACTACGGTACCTGCCCATGCTGAGGATTAAAGTGCCCCCACCAGCTGCAGCTGGAGAAGCCATGTCTGAGGGCTGTGGGAAGAAGGGTCTTGTCTTCAGCCTCAGACACCATCTGCCAGGCCAGAGAATTGGAGGCTATATCCTGGTTCTGACTCGTGATGCAGAGCACAGCAGAGGCCTGGCTGGCTTCTCCAAAGGCTGGGACAAGGAACACTGCTGGAGATGGGGATTAACCATGCTGAGCTGAACACCAAAGGCACCTACCTCCAGTCTCTGCTCCAGGATGGAGAAGATGCGCTCGATGCCAATGCTGACCCCCACACAGGGCACCTTCCGGCCCTTGGGATCAAACATCCCCACCAGCCCGTCGTA